TGATATAATAGAACCAAAGCCAGTCTTAAATCTTCCTATGGAGAAGCGCATGTTATACTCTGATAGAGAACTTACTGCAAGTGCTAACCACAAGGGCTTCATTTCCAATACTGACTTACTAGAGTTGAACCCATCCTTAAATGAACCTATGGAGGATAACGTGTACTCTGATGGCGACCGTATAGTGAATACCAGTCAGAGGGGATTAATTTCTAATAGTTTTTCAACTGAAAGACATCATCCTATTGAGGAACCCTGGTTACTCCAATCACCTCTCTTCTTTCTTGTGTCCAAGGATAAGATGGGTTCTGATATGTCCAAAAAGAATGGCGGCATGAAAGATTGTGTTGCAAATTTGGACAACGCAGGACAATCGTTGCCTGAAGAAAGAAATAATCTAATTTCGAATGAACCTGTGTCTACCATTATACTGATTAATTCTTCTATATGTACCATGCAAAGGATAGCTCTACTGGAATATGGGAAATTGGTTGAGTTACTACTGGAACCCGTTAAAAGTACAGTGCAGTGTGATAGTGTGTATCTAGGGGTGGTTACAAAACTTGTCCCCCATATGGGTGGGGCATTTGTAAATATTGGGAGTTCTAGACCCTCACTAATGGACATTAAACAAAACAGAGAACCATTCATATTTCCGCCATTCCGTAGGACAAAGAAAATGGAAGCCAATGGTTATATGCTTGATGATCGCGTGAATGCATATGGAAATGAACACATGCCACTTGATTACGAAGTGACTGACGACATCATTGAAATCAACTCTCAGGATGATTTTGTAAAATCCATTCACGATGTTGATGATGATGATGATGATGATGATGATGATGAAGATGATGATGAACATGAAATTGAGGATGAATTTGATGTTTCAGATGTTAAGGAAAACGTGAATGGTAGTATGCTTGACACTGGTGATGTGGGAAATGATTATCTAAAAGGTGACACTAGTGCTATTCCTGTTGCCATAAATGGTTCTAGCAGTTCTCAAATGTCTCACCTCCAAAATAAGAAGAATGATGCAACTATTATCGCTAATGAGAATAAGTGGGCTCGAGTTCAGAAAGGCACCAAAGTTCTTGTACAAGTTGTCAAAGAGGGGTTGGGTTCAAAAGGTCCCACACTGACTGCTTATCCAAAATTGAAAAGCAGATTCTGGGTATGTTGTGATTCACCATTATCCTCCTTATTAAACTCTAACCGTTCCTAAATATTTATTTTTATGAATATATAAACACCTCTGAATCCCTTGGCTTGCAGATATTATTAACTCGTTGTGATAGAATTGGAATCTCCAAAAAAATTGGCGGTGTTGAGCGTACACGATTAAAAGTCATAGCAAAAACTTTGCAGCCTCTGGGTTTTGGTTTGACTGTAAGGACTGTTGCTGCTGGCCATTCTTTAGAGGAGCTGCAAAAGGATTTGGAAGGTCTGGTTTCAACTTGGAAAAGTATTACGGAACATGCAAAATCTGCAGCACTTGCTGCAGATGAAGGTGTGGATGGGGCCATTCCTGTTATTCTACACCGGGCAATGGGTCAGACGCTCTCAGTTGTCCAGGATTATTTTAATGAGACGGTGACTTTCCATCATTTATATCAAAGTCATTTTGCCAATTGTTTGTTTCATTTTTCATGATTTGTTTTACATAAAAGTTTACAAGAATCTTTTAGTCTTATCCCCTAAATTGCATTCTTTATTATGGATATTTCAGGTTGAGAAAATGGTTGTTGACTCTCCAAGGACATATCATGAGGTATGGCATAAACTGTCTTAGAGGACTATTTTACCGGACTGAAAATTGTGCGTGCAGTTTTTGAGATGAGAGGAATGTGTGTGTGCATGTGTAGCATCTCATATTTCCAGAATAAGTTGATTGGTTTTATATCTCTAATGATTTAACCTTTTCTAATTGCACAAGTCTAGTCACTTGGTTTCTGAAGATCTTTTGTCCTTACTTTTTTAATTTTCTTTTAAATTACTCTTTTAAATTACTAAGAAGTCAACTTTTACCACACTTTCCAGGTTACCAGTTACCTTCAGGAGATTGCCCCTGATCTTTGTGATCGAGTTGAGTTGTACAACAAAAGAATTCCTCTTTTTGATGAATTTAACATCGAAGAAGAGATCAACAACATGCTCAGTAAAAGGTGAGGGGCAGACAATATTACTTATGTTGGCAGTTGTCACAATTTTCTGGCTCTGCAGATGCCTATTAAGCCACTTGTTAATGTTTGTTCTATGATTTTTTCATATTGCTTGGCTTACAGGGTTCCACTTGCTAAGGGAGGCTCTTTAGTGATCGAGCAAACTGAGGCATTAGTCTCTGTCGATGTGAATGGAGGACATGGGATGTTTGGTCATGGGACTTCACAGGAGAAAGCTATTTTAGAAGTCAACCTTGCAGCTGCTAAACAGGTATGCTAGATGCTGAACTCTAATTACCACTTTTGGCATTGTTTTCCTTGTACGGACAAGCAATTTATACATTTCCCTGTAGATGATAGCATACTGATCTGTTGCCCCTCTGTGGGTTTCTTCTTTTTCTATGTCAAACTATAACATGGTAACTTGCTCTGTTACCATGTTATAACTCATTCTTCAAAACTGGCATAGATTCTCCTATTTATCCATCTAAATGGTGAATCTTTGCAGTACTTGTTTGACAGAGAAAACTATGTTTCAGATTGCAAGGGAGTTACGACTGAGAGATATCGGTGGCATAATTGTGGTAGATTTCATTGATATGGCTGATGAATGTAAGTCGAAGTCTCTCCCTATCTTGTAGGTGTGTTTGCATGATTGACATATTTAGGCATGGCCCATGCATGGGAGTTATTTGTTTTCAAATGCTTGCAACTTACGCAGCCTATGACGTTTCAGCCTAATTCTGTTCCACTTTAGGATTTATATCAAGGCTATTCACATTAACTTGTAGAGAATCTGCATACCAGCTGCCAGACATATGCCCCTAAAAGCCATAAACTGAATGAGGCTTAAACTATAAAATTAAAGAAATGCCCAAGCAACAGTCATGTTGCTCTGCTAATAAATTTTGCAGGAGGTTGTAACACAAACGTGTATGATAGAATTTTCTACAAATATAAATAATAGCAAAGTCGATATTTAAGGTTGCCTAACTATCCTTTTATCAAACTTAGAAGGCATGATGTATGGTCCAGGGCAACTTCTAAAAGGTTTGGTTACATAACTGTGTTGGTCCTTAAGATTGAAAGAAACTTAGAGATCTTCATGTTTGTATGGGGAAAGGGAGGCATTTTTAGAAACTTTTTCTTAAGTTTCTATCATTCTGTTTTGAGAACTGCAATATTTACTGATGAGTTCTATTTGGCACTGCCTTATTTTCAGCAAATAAGAGATTGGTCTATGAAGAAGCTAAGAAGGCTGTTGAGAGAGATAGATCAATGGTTAAAGTCTCTGAACTTTCGAGGCATGGACTTATGGAAATAACAAGAAAGCGAGTATGTTGCATTAACGCGGCTCACACTTTCCTGCTACTTTTCATTATCAGTAAAATTTTAAAGAGCAATATGAAATTACAAATAAATAGAGTATTCAATATTCATTAATTTAAATCATGGGAGCAACATGAAAATCTTCACAAGGTTTATATATCAACTGGAGAAACTTGGCTCAATGATTTATGAGCTCGATCCAGCTCAATTGTTTTATCTGATGATAGATTGCATCATGTTGGACAGGTACGACCTAGCGTGACATTTATGATTAGTGAACCATGCACCTGCTGCCATGCCACTGGGAGAGTAGAAGCATTGGAGACCTCCTTCTCCAAAATTGAACAAGAAATTTCTCGATTACTGGTACGTGAAGTTGTAGACTACTAGGCATACACTGCTTTGTATGCATATAAATTTGAAAAATGCAGCACCAGAAACACTTGGAAAGAAACCTACTAGTAATTCCATGTAATTGCAATTCTTCCAATTTTTAATTTTCCGTTAAGAAAATTATTTTTGAAACTTTTATCAGGCGATGATGGAACAGAGACCAGACCCAGAGAACCCTAAATCCTGGCCAAAATTTATTCTGAGAGTTGACCATCACATGTGTGACTACTTAACTTCTGGGAAAAGGACAAAACTTGCATTCTTGAGCAGTTCCCTCAAAGTTTGGATTCTACTAAAGGTATGTATGATTGGAGGGTGTTCTTGATTCAGATTCTGAGTTTCTGTTCAAGATATGCATGAATGATTCCAATGACACTACCCTCTTATGAAAAGTGACCTCTGTAGTATGCAAAGTGCATGAGCGAATAACGGTTAAAAGTTGCCTTTCTTAATTGTCCAAAGAACATTTAAATTGAAATTTAAGTTGCTAGTATAGGAGAAATTTTTGCTTTATCACTAATTGTTAGAGGTAATCTCCAGGTTGCTAGAGGTTTCACCAGGGGTGCATTTGAAGTGAAACCATTTACAGATGAAAGGGCACACAAAGATCAGCGGCAAGTAACCATTCCGATGTTACGGCCTACAGAAACCAGAACTAACAATCCTGGCAGAAAGGTGACCTTGTTTCCAGTCAAAAAGTGGAAGGCCGGTGGAAAATGATATTTGCCACATTGATGTGCATTTGTTTTGTAAACAGACCAGAACCATTTCTTTTTTATTTTTTGACGTTATTATATAAGAGGAGGATGTAGAGGGAGGAGAAAGAGGAGAGGAGAAGGTTGGCATTGACCTGTTTCACTAGATGGCATTTTGTTGATAATAGCCTGTATTTTGCTTGGGTCAGCTGGTCTATCCAATATGAACTTCAGAACTACTTAGTTCACATTGTAGGAATGCTAGGCCAAGAAGTTTTGTTACCGGGGACTAGTAGCATTTTCAAAAGCAAAGCTATATATTGTCACGCAAATTCTTGTTGGTTACTGGAGAACTCATTTACTTTGTTCAGTCTTCGTCTACACTAATATTTCAACAAACTCAAAGAAAAAAACAATACACAACCCAATATGAAATTATTCAATACACAGAGGGGTAGAGATTGACATCAAATAAAACTCAAGTTCAACTTGAGACTCGTAAAATTCGAAGTGATGAAATATTGATAGTTGCTTCTTCTACAAGTAAAAAACTCATGACAAAGCTACTTAATGCTAAAACTATTAGTGGAGGCTTACAATTTCTCAAATGCAACACATAAAAATAGCTAAACAGTACACGTGGATATCGGCAATGTAGCAAATGGCAAAGTCTCGAACTAATCTGTGGGGATTAACTGGTCGCAGTGCTGCAGGTGTTGATGCCATCCTTGCAATCATTGGTGAGATCATTGAATGTTTCTATCTGCTTTTTCCCTCTCAAGAACACCTCTGTATCAACTGACACTCTCATGTAACCATCAAATTCAACTGGAACTCCATTGTTAAGCTTTGTTGTGTCGAAGTACCACTCACTGTTTTCATCCCAAAAATCCTTGTACTCGTCAAGGAAATGAGTGGTATACTTGTCTTTCAAAGGGTCAAAGAAAGATGTATCTGGTTCGTTTGTTGCAATGTAGAGGTTCCTTCCATCTTCAATTTTGTCCTGCAGGGTTGAGAGAAGTGCATTAGGTGAAGTATCTGCATCAAGATTAGGCCAAAGCTCCTTGTTATGTGCCTTCTCTCCTCTTTCAATATGCACAGAATCATAATCCCAGTTCAATTTTGATGAGATTGCAGACACTATATCCATTAACCTTCTCGATTTCCATATCAAATGCCATGGTCGTTGAACAACAGACTCCGTTTCCCCTTCACACACCCTATACCAATAATTGTCTGGCTCCACGGACCCGAACTTTCTCATAATCAAAGCATCCTTGACGTCATTAAGTTTCATAGGTGTGACCCTAAAATCCTCCACCAGATGAAGATTCAACCCATCTTTCTTCTGCCATTTCTCCCAATCTGACCAGAACTGCTTTGCGTCTAATACAGATGCAGACTCTCTTAAATGCTCAAAGTCAAAGTAAAACCTGAAATCCTTCCCTTCCTCATCTTGATTCGACGAAGCGTACATGGAAGACAGACAAATATTCAATTCCATGACCAAAGTTCGGTTCAGGTATTGCGCTTCACCTAAAGCACACAAGAAACTCCACAAGTAATGGTTCATGCTCTTGCACCTATCTCCACCACCCATGTAAACTAAGTACTTCCCACGACTAAATGAACCTTCAGACTCAACCACCGGAAGGGTATCATTCACAATCTCCCCCACAACTGGCAAAGAATTCACCTCCTTCTTCCCATTCTTCTCAAACCCAGGCTTCTGATTCTTCTTCCTCTTCCTCGCATTTACTCCAGTATGGTACTCTCCAATGTCACCAACACTAAGAGTACAATTTTCAGACTTCAAAATAGTAAACCTCCTGTAATCCTTGTAAAAGGAAGCAGTCTTCCCTTCCTTAGGCCTAAACCGCCAAGCCATATCACAACTGTTATCATCCGAACCCTGAGCAGGTTTCCCAAACCGGTAAAAATGAATATCCTTAAACTTTTCAATGGTGGCCCTCATCAACAAATGGAACACTTCCGGGTCCCGGCAATCTATGGGACCCTCACAGCTAGAAGATGCGGCCCCAGAAGCGTCACTGATCGTGTTATCACCCTCGCTTAAGTTAACAACATCAGTCATATTGATAAAGGTTGCAAATTCAGTTTGATTGGGAGCCATGAAATTCTCACCAGTCCTGACCACAGTGTCATCGGATTTGAAAGTGGCATTGGATTTGGATGTGAGGAAAGTGGTGATCTTGGTTGATGGGTGAAACAAAGGGTCTTCAGGTTCATAGGTGGCGGCAATAATGGTGAAGATCAACACTCCGAGCACAAAAAACGTGAAGCAAAGGTTTCCAATCAAGGCAAGGGCATTTGGGCCCAAATTCTCAGGCCTAAAGCTTCCAGTTCTGGAAAATGAGGACCGACCCAACATTTTTTGGAACCAGAAGCTTAAGCTAAAACCACCCAAATCTACTATCTAGCAGAAAACAAAAGTACCCAGATAGCCAAATCGCCTAAGAATGAAGAAATGGTCAAAGACCTATGGTTTTTAGATATTGGGATTGAAAAAGAAGAGATTCTTTTTTATTTGACTTGTTTATTTTCAGATCTCGAAGCTAATGCGAAATGGGATTTGAGAGATCTACCAATTGAAGAAATGTATGAAGCCAAAGACTAGCAGATAAGTGACTGTCAGAGAAAAGAGAGTTTATAGATTTGTCAGGATTACCTTCTGTTTCATATGAAGGTGAAGCAAAAACCATCAAGAAAGTTTCATCACCATTTTTGTCTTCTCTATCAACTTCGCTTCTCTGTCTCCAGTGTGAGTGTGGTGTGGGTGTGAGCTGTAGGCAGCTGCTAGATTTCTCAAAGTCTGAGGCTTGTGAGCGTGGTCAATAAGACAGATTGTTAGAGTGCGCAAGGGGCGCACTGCGCCTAACCACTGCGATGTTTCCACGTGGAAGATACGACTACGTGGAAGGAGATGACAGGCTTGGCGTATTGCCAATTAGTTTTTATGCGGTTTTTATGACGAGATTTATGAAATGAAGATCAGGAAAGTATAAAAAAGTACCGGCTTTAAGTGGGTTCGGTGTTTACTGAAGGGAGGTGTCTACTTCATAACAACTGCAGACACACCGACAGTGGCAAAGATGTAATTAGATTGTTGGAGACTTTACTGCAAATCTAACACTTGGCTACTTTAATAATGTTAAAAAAGCTTTGTTTAGAGATGAAAATTTACTGAGGGAAATGGCTTGTTCAATAAATGATGAAATATTTTAAGCTCCAACATGTCAAACCTTATAGGAATTTTTGTTTTGAAAGGAAAGCATAGGAGATTTCCTAAATTGGATGGATCATGGAGATGGGTGTCACATGGTAAGGTTGGTGTTTCACTCTCTGTAATGTGATGGTGGATAAGGATTATGTGGTACTAAATAGAAAACAGCTTCAGCTGAAGTACACAGAGAATGGGCTCCAGCCTACCATATGAGTCATAAGCCCATCTCCAATTTGCAGAAAAACTTGTGTTAAACGGGAATAGCAGTGTTTTGTTACTCCAGACCAATCATAGTATGTCGGTTTCATACAAGTGTTTCTCCCAATTTTGGAGTTGCTTTGAATACAAGGTTTGCTCAAGTTTTGCACATGTGATGAGATTGCCACCCAGCCACAGCCTTTATTTTCACTTGTGGTAAGAAGAAATGTGCAGTAAAACAGCAGAGTAAATTTTTATATATACATGACCAAAGTTGAGAGATATACAATGGACCCCCATAATGCCACTTGATCACCCCCTACTCTAATCCAAGATTTCAACCCCAGTGATTTAGCAGGGTGCAGAGTTTTAACTGCCCAAACAAATACATAGATTCAGATTAAAACTCTAACCCAGTGTTTTGTGAAACTCCTACAGCCAAAAAGATATATATTATGTAGACTGCGTATTGGAAGGTGTACAAGATGCAGCTCTCTGCTGGATGCGGCTCATGCTATGCTCCATGCTTCTTTTAACCATGTCTTGCAGTAACCTCTTTGCAGTTTCAGCAGCTTTATCAGCTCCATCAACCCTTGTGGCAATGTCATATACAATTCTCTCCAAAACTGAGGACGCCAATTGCTTTTGCTGGGGAGAATCTCTAAGCAAATCTAGCAGTGTACGAGCTCTCTCCCGAGCTTCAGCTGTGCCATCTACAGTCAATCGAAGCAGGCCCGGGACTGCACCTTCGTTAAGAATGAGTTCCCGGTATTTATCTCGGCAGCTCTGACACATAGAAAGCAAAGCTCCAACCGCGTGTTCTGTGCTCATAAGAGATCCATCTTCAACAGTTTCTACTAAGGTTAATATCCCACCATCTGAGTTTGAGATTGCAATACGCCCTTCTTCAGAGTTGGATAGGATTTCAAGAAGGGCAGTAGTTTTTTCGGCAAACTTGGAATACTTTTTGCATTCTTTGAGAAGGTTTATAAGAGGGGGAACGGCTGTAGCATCCAGAATATCAGTTGAGTTCTCTTGACAGGTAGAGAGGTTGTGTAGGGCAGTCACAGCATCAACTTTTCCTTGAACACTTCCAGAGCTGAGGATCTCAACCAGGAGAGGTGCAGCTCCAGAATCTGCAATAATTGGCTTGTTCAGTGCAGCAGCTGAGAGTGTTAAGATTGCTGCAGTGGCTAAATCTCTTAAACTACCATTTTGGAACTTGAGGAGCTCAACAAGAGGAGGGACGGCTCCAGCTGTCACAATTTTGACCTTGTTTCTAATAGACATCAAACAAGGACCCAATCAGACATACTGACAACTTATTTGAATATTTACTAGTAATAGCCATTACCTAAGATGAGGGTAATGGGCAGAGAGCAAAAGATTGCAGAACTAGTGAGCACTTAAAATTCACATATAATAATGTAACAACACCTATCACAGTGAAGCTCACATGATACACAGTTAAGAAGAATCCCGACATTAACGAGAAAAAACAAAAGGACTGGAGGCCTGATTTTTTTGGTATCAGAATGCTCGTGCAGCATTAAGAGAGAGATAATAGTATGGGAGTTTCCCAAATTCAGAACCTGATTCCGAAAACTTAAACAGCATTAAAATACAAAGATTTATACTTTTTTTTTTTTTTGGTTTGAACCACGAGGTGGTCCTGGATGGGCCCCAACTATGGGTGGCACCTTTAAGCCTTAACCACAACCCAGACTAATCCCCGCTCACACCGGGTCGGCCCGTAAGGGGTAAAGTGCTGGCCAAAGTGGTGACTCCATACGAGAGCAAGGATCGAACCCCTGACCTTCTCTTAAGGAATGAGAGTGCCGAACCACTCACACCAACCACCTTGGTTCAAAGATTTATACTTCAATAAGAAAGTTCTCTCCATTAACTACCACATAGATATTCATTTCCATATTTACAAAGAAAAACAAACGAAGACAAAATTAAAACGACAACTAAACTTGACTGCCTCACCCCCTTCAACAGAAATTTTATCCTAACAAAGCCATCTCATTTGTCCAGGCTTGGGTATTCCGTCTCATTTGCTGCATAACAAATCTTCCAGAGAAAGGGTAGGAATCAAGATCCAGTTGGATCTTCCAGTGTATCAGTAACACGAAGATGAAAAATGGTTGAAAATATGCTCTCTTTCTCAAGTAGTTTGACACACTAAAGTACTGTCCTTTCTCTCAATTTTTCTTTAATGACCAACATGGCAGAAATTTCCCTAAATTGGATTGAAAGGAGCTAATTCTTCCCTCAAGTAGCAACTTTTACTAGTATCAAATCTTTTGCCCAACCCCAACTTCCTCAGTAACTAAAAAAAGGACAAAATCACTATTATCTACATTTCCTACATCTCTTCCCCCCAGCTAGTAAATAAAGAAGTGATCAAATCCACATAATTATGGACAGCGAGGACTCTTATTGAATCCAGAAGCTCAATCGAGAAAACACCAAATACAAAACCACCTCATCAAAATCCATTTGGGTGCTAGGAAATGTGAACAATTCTTTTCATTTTTGTTATCAAAATCAAGAACTAGCAACCCCATGTAAGAAAAACAAAATGCCCATATCATATCATCTGATTTCATCTCCAATAAAACAAAAAGACAATCCCAGAACAAAAAAGGTTTCGCACTTTCCCTTGTTACCATTTCACAGCAACAAAATGAGCAAAAAGATGCAAAAACCCATCAACAAAATTGGCATAAACCAGTCTCTCACAGCCCATCAATGAATAAAACACAAAGAAATCTGAAGCCATGGAAACAAAATTACCGTTCATTGCGGACAGCGAGGTTGAGGAGAGCGAGGAGAGAGACTTGGCGTGCATCTGGGTTAGGAGAGCACAGCATCAACACCAAAGGTGATATCACACCAGCAGCGCCCAACTTTGACCGGGTCTTGGAAGACAAAGACGATGACGAAGAAGAAGACTTTCTGACCAAGTTTCTGATATCTCTGGCGGCTTCAATCTTGGCCTCCAGATCACCATGGACGAGCTTTGAGGAGATTTCAAGTATAAGGGTTTGCTTCCTTTGGTTCCATGTCTCTACCTCCTCCTTCTCTACCACTTCTCTTGTTTCTTCTTCTTCTCCCACTCCCACTGAGCTTTGCTCCTCCTGTCCCATCTCTCTCTCTGACGCTCTGCCTTCGTCTCCCTGTCTCTTATGTTTAGAATAAGAGGAGTCTTTTTATTTTCTGATATTTTTTTAATTTTCTTTTTCTTTTATGATCTTTTTGGATTTTCTTTTTCAGATTCATAACATTCCTGCAACCAAAACCAAACGAATCATTTCACCAAAAAACCATACGATCTATAACATTATTTTCCATTTTAACACTAGTAACGAACTAAAGAGATTTGCTAACATCAGTTGTTTACACATGTACAATCAAATAATTTATACCGTTCCAAAAATATAAACTCGTAGATACAAAAATACTCAATAAATACATTTCCTTTTAAAACTTTTTATTTCATGTGAGTATGAGTATGAATCCTTGATGTGGAAGAGAAGTTTACTTCACACAAGCTCAAAAATGATTACTGAATATTGATTAGGTATTAAGACAAAAATTAATGTAGGCATGGTGATGGAGAGTAGGATTATAAAAATGAGGGTGGTGGTCTACAAAATATTCTGCGGTCGCAAGAATATATGGAGGGAAGACCAAACACCCGAGCCAGGACAACCACTACATGTCCAAATTACACCTACCAAAGAAATACCCACAACTCTTGGTCATTTTAAAATCATGCAAAAGAAGAAAACTATTTTAATCCACTTGTTTTCTGTGAAGAATTTATTTGGAATATTTCTTGTCCTTTTTTGTATAAAAATCTAAAAAAATGTACACTGACCATAACGTTTTTGTCTATACGGTAACTTTTTTGTTTTTCCTTTTTATTGTTTTATCTGGTAAAACCATTGGTTTGGCTGTAAACCAGTGCAGTCAATAGTAAACACCAGTTGGTGCCAAACATCTTTAAAAAAAAAAAAGAAAAAAAAAAGACATTTCTTATTGAGTGGAGCGATAGTATATTAAACTTACACACATAATACGAATGCTAAGACTCGAATCTTGGACCTTGCCTGAAGGAGTAAATACTTCAAACCACTATACTAATGGGTTCTTTGCATGCCAAAAACCTTCTAAAAACATGCATGATATGAGAAATTAAAAAGTAAATTTAGATTTTAGCCATAAAAAAAATTTCACTTTTGGAAAAAACCAAAACTTTTTCAAAAAAGACAGAAATAATTTATGTGTTATACCGCATATGCCATTGTTAAAGATGCCCAAATGATTATTTCTTGTTTAAAATTACGAGGAAACGGTTTAAAATTTTACATAAGAATATGTTTTCTTTTGGAAGATGTATATGTATTTTGTCATATGTCTGGTTTTCTG